TTTTCAAATGATTCTTATGTAGACGAAAAACAAACGAAAGTTGGAAAAAATAACAATGGAATAAATGACGTTGTTAAATTGTTTCTCTTTCATTTGTTGTTGACAACCATATTTTCAATTGCAACTGGGTGGAATTTGTCCTTGACTGTCAACGAAAAAAATAACACATCTACATTTGACGTCGTAGAAAAATCGAGAAAAAGAACAGACGACATCGAATATATAAATAGAAAAGGTAGTCTCTGTCCAAACAACAATCTATCATTGAAAATACTCAATTGTCAATCAAACGCCAAAAAAATGGCATCAAAAATGAGTGAACGCCGAAGACAACGAATGGCTGAAAATTATTTGGTTATCTGGGTCGATGAAAATATCGATATGGCAAATGAAGATTGCCAAAATACACTCGCGCAATTGCGCGGTGTTGTTAATGAAGTGAACCCATGCACCACTGCCGAACAATGTATTGAAAAACTCCAAGAAAACAATGAGGAGACATCATTCGTGATCTCCTCTGGTACGCTGGGACAACACTTGGTACCAGATATTCATGACATGGCAAAATTAAATGCCATATACATTTTTTGTGGTAACAAGCAACGCCACCAAAAATGGGCTAAAAATTGGCCCAAAATTAAAGGTGTGCATACATCAATCAAACATATATGTGAAAAACTGACCGTTGCTGTCAAACAATGTAATCAAGATCAAGTAACGGTCAGTATTATTAGTGTTAATGAAGGAGATTCTAGTGAAAATCTCAATCAGCTAGAGCCTTCCTTCATGTATACACAAATATTTAAGGAAATACTCCTTGATATGGAACATGGCCAAAAAGCCATAAAAGACTTGGTCACCTTCTGCCAAGAACAATACAAAGACAATACCAAAGAACTCAAATTGATCGATGAATTCCAACGTAATTATCATCCAACATTGGCGTTATGGTGGTATTCACGCCAATGTTTTACATTCAAAATGCTCAATCGAGCATTACGAACACTCGACGGTGATATTATCATCCGAATGGGATTTTATCTATGTGATGTTCATCGACAAATTGAAGATTTACACAGCGAACAGATTAGCCAGTATCATGGGGAGTCCTTTTTAGTTTATAGGGGCCAAGGCTTATCCCCAGACGATTTTGAGAAACTCGCAAAAAACAAAGGTGGTCTCATATCTTTCAATAATTTTTTATCCACCAGCAAAGATCGTGATGTCTCCTTCGCTTTTGCCGAAAGCATCTTAGGAGCAACCAATATGGTTGGTATCCTCTTTCAAATAACCATCGATTCTACAGTGTCATCAACTCCGTTTGCCTCCATGAAGGAGGTTAGTCATTTCGCGCAAGAAGAGGAAATTCTCTTCTCGATGCACACTGTCTTTCGAATTGGTGAAGTTCGAAAAATTGATAAGAAAAGTCCACTTTATGAAGTGGATCTTAAACTTACGTCTGATGATGACCAACAACTTCGTCAATTAACCGACTGTATACGAGAAGAATCTTCAGGTGGCACTGGATGGTATCGAATGGGTAAATTGCTGCTCAAAATAAGTCAATTTGACAAGGCTGAAGAATTGTACATGACACTACTAGAACAGGCATCCGACGACAGTGCTAGAGCACATATCTATCACCAGCTTGGATGGTTGAAAGTCGACCAAGGACAATGCAAAGAAGCAGCTTCATTTTATGAAATGTCTCTCAAGATTAAACGAAAAACTCTTCCAGAAGATCATCCTTCATTGGCTCCTACCTACAACAACATCGGTGGAGTGTATAATGACATGGGTAACTACTCGAAAGCACTTGAATTTTACGAAAAATCACATCAAATCTTCGAAAAAGCTCTGCCTCCGAATCATCCCAATTTGGCTATTTCCTACAACAACATCGGTCAAGTGTATAACAACATGGGTAACTACTCGAAAGCACTTGAATTTTACGAAAAAGATCTTGAAATCAAGAAAAAAGCTCTACCTCCGAATCATCCCGATTTGGCTGCTTCCTACAACAACATCGGTGGAGTGTATAACAACATGGGTGACTACTCGAAAGCACTTGAATTTTTCGAAAAATCACATAAAATCCTCGAAAAAGCTCTGCCTCCAAATCATCCCAATTTGGCTTGTAGTTACTTGCATTTTGCAGCGTGTTACGAAAGAATGAGTGATTACGCAGCAGCTCTTAAGTCTCTTCAAAGTGCTTTTCAAATTCAACAACAAGCATTTCAAGAAGGTAATCCAGCTTTTGCTTCAACATATAGTTGGCTCGGAAGAGTTTATCGCAGTTTGAAAGATTACTCAAAGGCACTTGATAATTTTGAGAAGTGTCTCGCAATAGATCTGAAAACGTTACCTGAAAAACATCCCTATCAGGCTATTACATATAGTAATATAGGTGATGTTCATCGATTAATGGGTAATTATGAAAAAGCAGTTGCATTTCATCAAAAAGCATTAAATATTCAAGAAAATGTTCAATGTGATCCTACGGACTGTGCAACGACATATATAAATTTAGGTGAAACTTATCGTGAAATAAAAGATTATTCAACAGCATTGACATATTTCGAAAAAGTATTAGAAATACGTGAAAAGAAATTACCAAAAAATCATCCTGATTTAGCTGTTGTATATCATAATATGGCAAAATTATATTTGGCTACACGAAAATATAGTATGGCAATGAAAAATATTCAACAAACAGTTGAAATAGCTCAAGAAAAATTACCTTCAACTCATCCTCATCTTTTGGAATATAAAGAAACATTTGAAAAAATTCGAAAGAAAATGTAATTTTTGTTTTCATTTACTTGCTCAATAAATTGATTTTGATTCCTTTTCACTTCCCTACTTTTCTAGGCTCATTTTCACGCGTACGCACGCGTGCGCGACCAGGGAGGGGCCCTATGCGTATGAAACGGGTACACACAGAGCGGACCACGCCACACTGGCAGGGCAATGTACATAGGTGTACCGTACATAATGACGGCAGGGACCTACGTACATTAAAGACCTTCCCGAGTACTACACTGCTTTCACCATTCCATGACGAATAGAATCTCTCTCTGGATCAGGTTACGAAGCCACCTGATAAGGCTGTGATATAAATTGGTATCTATCTTCTAACATAAATAGCATAGACTTAACATAATAACACTATACACTAAATGTGTACAACAACGAAGAAAAGAATTATTTCATCCGAAATAAATCATCTATATCTCATTCTAACATTATCTCAATGTAAGTATTTCTATGAAAATTTAATTTAGAATTGTTCTTTCAAAAAAACAAAAAACAAAGTTTTTTTTTAATCTTTCAACTGTTAATTTATTTGTTCAAGTCTTGCTCAAGATAAATAAGATAATTTTTGAAGCAACATACCCAATCTTGTTATTGGTATAAATCAATAATAAATCATATATTTTTTTAACATTCTCATGTTTTTTATAATTTCATATAATTCATAAAAAAAAACAGATGAATTCTAAAAACATCATAGAATAAATTTCTATCATAAATCAATATATCCTAACATATATTATCATTGAAATCAAAAACATTGTAAAAAAATATGAATCATAATATAACATCATTGAATGAATGAATGAATGAATTTCATTATAAGTTAATGCATTGTAAAGCAATGAATTTAAATAACATCATTCAATAAATTTCATTCTAAAATAATACATTTTAATATAATATGATTGATTAAATATCATTGTAAATTAATGAATTTTAATAGAATATCATATAATAAACTTCATTGTAAATTAATACATTTTGATGCATCATAAACTGATAAATTTCATTGTAATATAATGCATCTTTATGTAATATCATTCAATAAATATTATGGTAAATTCATGCATTTTAACATAATACTATACAATAAATTTCATTGTAATTTAATACAATATAATGTATCATAAACTTACATATTTCATTTTAAAATAATCCATCTTTATATAATATCATTCAATGAATATTATCGTAAATTAATGAATTTTAACAGAACATCATACAATAAATCTCATTGTGATTTAATACATTTTTATGTAATATCATTCAATGAATATTATGGTAAACCAATGCATTTTAACGTAACATCATATAATAAATTTCACTATAAATTGGTACATTTTAATGCATCGTAAATTGTATACATTTCATTGTAAAATAATGCATTTTTAAATAATATCATTCAATAAATATCATTGTAAATAATGAATTTAACAGCATATAATAAATTTCATTGTGAATTAATACATCTTAATATAATATGATTCAATGAATATCATTGTAAATAAATGAATTTTAACACAGTATCATACAATAAGTTCCATTGTAAATCAAAACATTTTAATCCATTATGAAATTGATAAATTTCATTGTAATATAATGCATTTATTGAATTGTACAGAAATGAATTTTAATAACACCCATCCCTAGATTTCGTTCTAAAATAAATGCCTCATTATATAATATCGATCAATAAATATCATCGGAAATTAATGTATTTTAATTCTTTGCGTCCCAAATTATTTCTGCTGGACACTGACTCGTCCAGATAAAAACCAACATGCTCGCATACGGATTCACGTGCGCACACCTACAACACCCATATCCACAAACTCGACACCACCCACCACATCCACACCGTTGAACATTCTTTATTGCTACATTCCAGTAAATTACATAATAATTATTAAACATGTATAGATTTCTTTTTCCTACTATAGAATTCAAAGGTTTAACATAACATTATGTAACAAATTTCATTATAAATATATACATTTTCATACATTATAAACTCATACGTAGCATTGTAAATAATTATAAATTGATAACTGTATGTCATTCATGAAAAATCATAATGTAAAATAATACTAGTTATTGTAAGTAATATAAAAAAATTGTAATCCGTGAAAAATAAATCATGTGAGTGTCATGTTTTATCTTTATTGAGCATGCTCATGATTTGTTCGATTGAATCGTATGAGAATACTGGTGAAAATGTGTTTCTTATATATATGTGTTCAAACATACACGTTACCAATCAAAGACATTCTAATGATGTTGATACCAATTTGACGAACGATAATTGACGACGATGGGCACATTCAAATATAATTAATTAATCATTACATGATTAATCGAAATGATGAGACACGAATTAATTTCATCGTTTTTCATATGCATGGATGTGAATACTTGTCCTTTGTTCATATAATGTCCTTCATGGCCAATACATATTTTTTTCTTTCTTTTTTTTGGATCAGAAGAAATTTCTATTCATCATCATCATCATGAATGGTATGTTGTTTGTCGAATGACACTTTGGTCGACAGACTTTTCGTCGAAGTAACTTTGTCGAAAACTTTTTGTCGAAATTTTTTTGTAGAAAAGCATTTCGTCGAAAAACATTTCGTCGACAAGACATTTTGTCGAAATTTTTTTGTCGAAAAGCATTTCGTCGAAAGAACATTTCGTCGAAAAACATTTCGTCGAAAGAACATTTCGTCGACAAGACATTTTGTCGAAATTTTTTTTGTAGAAAAGCATTTCGTCGAAAGTGAATTATTTTCTTCTTGTTTATCTCGCCGTCAGGAGACAAGTTCAAAAGTATCTCCTAATTAACTTTGTCCCTTTGGTGATGGTGGAAGAATTTTAGGACACTATTGAATAGAATTACATACTTTTCGTCGAAAAGTACTTCAAGGCAAGGTTTGTAGTCTCCGAGACAATCCCGGATTCTTCAATTCTTTTACAGAACTGTTCAGAGTTAAGAGGACAGTGAATTTTCTTTCACACACACGTTTGTGGTGCCCTCGTCCTCACCCTTGTCTTCACCCTCACATTTGGAGTGTCTTGCATGAGTGTTGCCCTCACCCTTGCCTTCACCCTCACATTTGGAGTGCCTTGCATGAGTGTTGCCCTCACCCTTACCTTCGCCCTCACATTTGGAGTGTCTTGCATGAGTGTTGTCCTCACAGTCGTGCTCACTCTCACTCACCCTTGCCTTGACGTCATGCTCACTCTCACATCTGGAGTACGTCTACATGGTCCCTGCCCTCTCCCTCACCTCACCTTTACATTTGCGGTACTCTCCATAGCCAAGAAAATACTTTCGACGAAAAACACATATCCATCTGAGTTTATTGATGAAGTGCTTTGTCGACGAAGTGTCGTGTCGACGAAATGTTTTTCGACGAAGTGTCGTATCGACGAAATGTTTTTCGACGAAGTGTCGTGTCGACGAAATGTTTTT